AGAATCTGCACGCCAGCGCCCCTCAGGGTGACCCAGACATGGAAACCTGCTGGTCAAAACGAGCAGCCAAGAAAGGCCAGGTCGTCCGGCTCCATTTACAGAAGTTCAGGCAAGAAAGCGGGCTGGCGGGGGTGTGGGGTGGGGCGGCTGGGGCCCATGTCACACGGTGATCAGGGCTAGCCACTGATCTGCTGACTACAGAGACTTGTCCGCACAAGCACCACCTGCTGGCCCCGCACCCACCCTTCTCCGGCGGCACAGGGTTGGAACCACAGGTGCAGGCGGGAGCCCGTCATGGGCCTGGAAGGGACGGAGCGGACACCGTTGCAAGTGGACACTCGGGCTGGGAAGCAGCTCCAAAGAGGTCATGGGCTGGTTCCCTTAACATCTTGAAAACCACATGAGACCAACCACAGCAAAAGCTTTCTACTGTCCATGAAGAGCAAGCCATGTTTCACACACAAAACCTCCAACATTATTTAAAAAAAAAACACACAACACCCTACTGATAATCCCAAAACTCAAGGGTGACCATTAACGTCTCGAGTGCTTCAGTCAACGATTCTGCCCTTTGTCTTACTTACACAGACTTGACAAGATGACAAAGGCTTCTCTAACTACTGAATGTTCATTCAATATTCCTCCACACCAGCATTTTTAAAGGCTCCACAATATCTCACCCTACCAATTTCCGTATGTCCTTGCTAGACCTGCGGCTGCTTGAAGTTTTTCATTTTTATTAAAAAAAAAAAAAGCTTTGCTTTCCTGCAGGTGTGCCCCTTAAATTCCTCAGGGTGGGCGCCTCATCACTCGTGGGAAGCGGGGCTCGTCCGGCTATGGACGCAGGCACACCCAGCGGAAAAGCGAGCCTCCTCTGAGCTGCGCTGTGCTGAGCTCACAGGCGAGCACCCCATCCCACTGCTCCTCAGGGTGAGCGTCCCCCACGTGCTCTTCACCAGGACCTCCCCTCTGACGACTCTCCGTGTTGCCAGGTGACAGAGAGGAGAACACTCCCAGCAGCAACAGCATGACCAAGTTGCTCCCATTGTTAAGGGATGTGGGTGCTGCTGACGCGGACCAAGTCAAATCACCACAGCTCCATGGTGTGCGTGGGGTGTGTGTATGCACACGTGCACACCTGCAGCTGACAGGCTTCTGCAGCCACATCACACCTGAGCCCTGTGCTCAGGGACACACCTCCTCCCGCCCAAACTACATCAGCTGGAAAATCAGAGTCCGGCAGTTTGAGGACGGACAACATTGGACCCAGGAAGAGAGGGGGGACCAAACGAGGGGAAGGAGAGCACGCTGAGCCACCGCAGCCCTGGGGCAGTGTGGCCCACAGGGAGGGTGCGGGTGGCCGGCCACGCTGCCGCACTGCAGCATCCACAGCCTCCGCGGCAGCTTCTGGACCTGAACACAGCACCCCAGTGCCCCTCAGATGGACGTCTCTGCATTCTCAGGCCTGCACACTCCATCCCATGCACCTATCACCATCCCCTCCCAGAGCAGCATGCACAGCCCTCGTCCACAGGTACCATCCCACCTCAGACCAGATGACTGCTCCCTAGGAAAGCGCAGGCGGCTGTCAGCTCAGCTCACGCCCCCAAGAACCACCCTGGTCCCAGGACATCTGCCCACTGGGGGCCCACGGGGCCATGCTGTCTGACCCAGAGAACACACCAGGTAGCCTTTCGGGTTCACAAACCCTTGGTGTTTATCACCAGCCAAGATCTCTGTCCAGGGGCTTCCCAGGTGGTTCAGTGGTAAAGAATCTGCCTGCCAATGCAGGAGACCCGGGTACAATCCCTGGGTCAGGAAGATCCCCCAGGGAAGGAAATGCTGGCAATCCACTCCAATATTCTTGCTTGGAGAAGCCCATGGACAATGGAGCCTGGTGGACTATACTCCATGGGGTTGCAAAGAGTCGGACACAACTGAGCAACTAAACAGCAACCACACAGACCTGTGTCCAGGGTTGACACTGACTCCTTCGCCCAGACCTGCACCTGCTGTGGGCAGAGAACCGGCCCACTCCCAGGGCTCGGGCCTTCCCCACTCTGCTCTTCCGTCTGAGGACGGGTGTCCCCTCCGCCATGCCCTCTGCACACCTTGACTCAACTAGGCAGAGCCCGCCCAGCATCCTGGAAGCCTGCCTGCCGAGCAGCCTCCCTGTGTGTGAGCACTTCCCCTGAGCGCTCCCGGTGGTGCCCACCGCCCCCATTGGGGCCGGTCTCCCTCGCCGCTGTTTCCGTTCCCCCTGCTTCCAAAGGACGCAAGTCCACAGCCAACGAGGGTCTGGATATTCCAACCTCCACAGAAGAAAATTGTCCACCGTGGACACCAGAATCTGCTCATCACTACCAGATCCCAAATGTGGCTGAGAAACCTCAGTTACCGCCCTGCACTCGAGTTCAAGTTCACCTTTCCTGCATGCCCAGTTGCTCAGTCCAGCTCTTTGTGACCCCATGGACTGCAGTCCTCCAGTCTTCTCTGTCTGTCGAATTTCCAGGCAAGAACACAGGAGTGGGTATCACTTCCTCCTTCAGGGGATCTTCCAGACCCAGGGATCAAACCTGCGTCTCCTGCCTTGGCAGGGAGATTCTTTACCACTGTGCCACCTGGGAAGCTCGAGTTCACTTTATTCACTTCTACTTCCCAGCTCATTCCCAAAGCACTGACGAAGTCCAGCTTCCCATCCTCAGAGGGACCTGCACACGGTCTCTGACACCCGCACACAGTCCCAGCATGCTCTCCAGAGCACCTAGGTCAGTACAGTCAGCCCTGCGCCACCTCCCCGCCCTCCCGCGTTCCTTCTGCAGCTCGCTCCAGGTCAGGGCGCCAGACACTGACACCTTCCCCACGTTCTCCAAGGGACTGAGGGACGATGTCCTCACTGATGTGGTCCTGGGCCCTGCGACAGCCCGCCACACTAAGTACTGCCCACGCGCAAACCAGGCAAGTGGCCAGCTCTTAAGGGAGCAGCCACTGTGCGCCTGGTCAATTCCTGGGATGCATTGCACATATAAAGCGCTGCAGTGGAGGGCTGTGGTCATCAGGGAGCAGGCCAGGCCCAGGCCGGAGATGCAGCCGAGGGTGCAGGCACGAGTGGGAGAAGGGCTTGCCGCTGCGATCTCACCCCAGAACCCAGCACCCGACCAAGGGAAGACACCCCGAACTCACTCGGCTCCAGAATGAGGCGCCCAAGAAAGCACAAAGGAACAAAAGAGACTGGGAGGGGTTGGGTGGCAACCGTGAGCCCAGGGGTGCCATAGCAGGCTGCCTGCTGTGCCTCTGGAGCTCGAGTCTCCTGCCAACACTGGGGACAAACAACGGAGAAAACAGCAGGGGGCACACCCCAGCATGAGAGCTCCAGGATGCAGCTTCCCTCGGGTCGGCATTGAGGACAGAAACCAACCTCCAGCCCCAGAAACAGCCAGACTTGTGCAGAGCCACAGCGGCACACTGGGTCCCAGAAACAGAGAAAATCCGGCAGGGCAGACCCCGGGCCGGCCACTGCACAAGCACACCGCTCACACCAGCTCGCCCCTCCGGCCCCTCCATCTCTTTCCTTCCCTCCCCCACAACCCGGGCTCGAAGGAGGTGCGCGCCCAGCAGCACTGATGCCAGGAGCAGACAGTGAGGACGGAGCTGTGCCTGGTCTCCAGGCTCCCAGGATGTGGGCGCATCACCACGACATGTCTTCCCGCTGCTCCTAACCCTGAAGACTCTGGGAGCCAGGGTGCGAAGGGCGGAACTGCCCTCTGTGAATGGGAAGGGCCTGAGCAGTGGCAGAAGGCTTCCGAGCTCTGGGGCGCACTTAGCACCCCAGGGACCCAGCAGTGCAGATAGCGCTGGAGCGGAGTCTGTGGAGCCCTGGGGAGAAGCCGCTGGGCCGCCAGTGCCTCCCTCCTGCCAGCCGCCACTGTACCAGCAACTCCCAGCCGGTCCACAGGAGCCTCGACGCCAAGTCCTGCCCCAGGCACGGACACCTCCCCTGGCCCCATGGCGGGGTGTTAGCAGGAAGGAATCTGAGCTCCCAGGGAGGGAGAGGACCACCTGCGAGGGGCTCCCATCACCGTTTCTGGCTGATGACCCACGCTGGCCCAGGTCACCAGGAGTCCCTGGGTCCCTGCCGTCTCCATGCCTCAGGCAGTGCTCCGCCTGTCACAGGGAGGAGGCGGGTCCCCTCTCCACCAGTGGCTGTGTCCCCAGCGCTCGCCACAACCGGCGGGAGGACCCTCAGCAGCAGAGGTCTCGTCCGAAGAAACCGCTGCTGCCCTGACGGCGCCCTGGCTTCGAGATCTGCTGGATACGCACCACCGGCCTGGGCAGCGACTCGGTGAGGGTGACTCAAGAGCCCACCATCTGCGCCTGGAGACACCCGGCAGAGGCGGTGGAGGCCTCCCGCTGGCCCTCTCGCCCCTAAAACGAACCCAGGGCCCTACCCTCGCTGAGGCTGGGAGGACGTGCTCGGGGAGGGGGCCCGGCCAGCCCAGGTAGCCCCACGACCCTGAGAGTCCTGAAAGGAAAGGATGGAGGAGCAGCGCCCACAGTCTCGGCCGCCACAGGCCAGAAGGTTAGTAAACAGCCTTCACAAGAATCCCAGACACAAAGAGTGTGGAGGATGAGAACGCCAAGAAGCAAAATTCCTCAGGAAAGACAGCCTTGCCAGGAACACGAAGGTCCTGGGGAAGAAGCGCCAGAGCCTGGGAGGGGCCGCGCTGCCCCGTCAACCGCGGACGCTGAGAGAAACCCAGGTAGATGCCACAGATGTGTATGTGCCGTGTTTGGGCCACACGTCCGAGAACGTGGACAGAACGTTTAATCCCGTCAGAAGTGCGCGTTTTCCTCCAGCACAAGGTACTGATGCTCGGAGCCCGGAGCCAACCGCCTTCCTCTGAGGACGCCCAGGTGTGCACACCTCCCCGGCCCCCGCCCGGCGCCGGCCCGCGGCCAGGCGGACGCAGGTCGCCGGGTGGCACCAGGTGCCAGCTTACCGTTGCTGTAGGCGTACGGGGACTCGGCCGCGCCGTCCTGCAGGCTCTCCAGGATCTCGCCCTTGCCCACGTCGCTGTCGCCCACCAGCAGGAACTTGAGCAGGTAGTCGTAGCTCTTGACCGGGCTGCCCTGCGTCCCCATCGTCGCTCACGCGCGCACGGGCCTCGCCCGCATTCCCACGGCGCCGCGAAGCCCGGGGAGGAGGCCTCCGGCCGACCTGTGGGCGCCGGCGCGGGTGAGCGGGGCCGGGGGACGGCGAGGCCTCCCAGCCCGCACCTGCTCCACCACCCCCGCCAGGCCTCTTCTCTGCTCGCCTCAGCGCCGCCGCCGCCGCCCCGCCGCTTCCCGCAAGGCGCCGCGCAGCCCCACCGCCCCGCCCCGCCCCGCACGCCTCCATTGGTCGTCCGCCATCCCCCTTCCCATGGCCATTGGCCGGCGGCCACGTCCTTCAGAACCACGGGCGCCCCAGCCCCCGCCCCCGCTTCCCAGACTCCGCCGCGAGACCTCCGAGAGCCCAGCCCCGCCGCCGCCCCGCCCCCGCGCCGTCGCCATCGGTCATGCCCCGCCCCCTCTCAGCGGCCATTAGCCCGAGCGCAGGTCCATCACAGATGCCCCGCCCCGCCGCTTCCCAGGCCGCGCGGAGAAGCCCGCAGATGCCCCGCCCCGTCGTCGCCACGCCCCGCCTCCCCGCCGTCGCCATTGGCCCTCTGCCGCCCGCTTTCCCGGAAGCACTGGTCCGCCTGCATGTCCGTCATAGCCCCGCCGTCCCCGCTGCGTCCCACGGAGCATCGCGGACTCACCGGCAACCCTGCCCCCTGCTCCCGCGACTCCTCGGCCCGCTCTCTCCTTCGCCACTGGCCGCCGCTGCAGACCCTCCCAGAACAGCTGGACCGCCCGCACGTTGGTCCCGGCCGCTGAGCCCGCCCCCCTTTCGAGATGCTCACCAATCAGGAGCCTGGAGCTTCAGGTTGTTTGCGTACACTCCTGCTTCCGCGGACGGAGGAGGACGGCGGCCGTCCCCAAGAGGCGGTGAGGCGGCTAGGCGCGGGAGGACTGAGCTTTCGGGAAAGTCGTGGCTGCTTCCCTCACGAAAACCTCGGACGGGACGGAGCGGCCCACCTGCCTCAGTGCCCTCGGAAGCGGAGCTCTCCGCCAAGGGGGCGTGGCGCGGAGAGGGGAGCCAATCGGTCTCGGAGTGACCACGGGAGGCGGGACTTCCGCTCGCGCGCGGGCGCTTCGGCCTCCTAGGCAGCTGGGCTGCCGGGGCAGTGAAGTCAAGTGTGAGGAGGGGGCGGGCCCGAAGGACCGGGGAGGGCGGTGGGCGGCGATGAGGAGGGGATGCTTGGGGGCGGAGAGGGGACGCGCGGGTCTTAGAGGGGGCGCAGGGCCCCCAGCGCAGCAGGTCCCCTCCGGTCCTTCGCTTCTGCTTTTCCCCTGGCAAGGTCTGCAGTTAGACAGCCGGGCTCCGATGGCCCGACGCTACGAATGGCGGGCTCAGCGCGCTGGTTTTCCTCCGGCTCCAGAGAAGATGGCACTGCCGGCTCGGAGCTGGTGAGGCCGGGTGGGGGTAGGGCGTGGGGCTCTCAGGTTTGACCAGGGCGCCTCCAGGAGGAAGTGACTTTGGGGTTGTTTACAGGATGGGTTAGAACTGCGTGTGAACACGTGTGAAGATAACAGTTTTACTCTTCAAGATGGAAAGTAAAGCAAAATAATACTTTTCTCCCCATTGGATCGGCAATGTCACGTGTGGGCCACGATGTGGGGAACAGCTTTCTGGGAGGGAGGTTGGACAGCCTAATAATCCCGTGTCTTGTTTAGTCTGGAGAAGTTGTCAGAAACAAGCTCAAGGAATCACTGTAGCATTGCAGTGATGGTGAAAGTGGTGAAACCGCCTAGACCCGGGCTAGGATGCCATTTAATCAACCAGGTTTACTCAGCCCCTTCAGTCAATGAGGTAAACTGGGAACAATACTGACCTGAGAAGACAAATGACAGTACAGTTATACCCAGTGTAACTTTAACAGGATGCTTTATAATTTTAATTCGCTTCATTCTAGATTTGTGAGTAGAGAAATATAATGTGTGCACAGGATAGTCTGGAAGGATGCTCACCAAATGGACAGCATGGTTTCCTTTGGGCATGGAGAGTGGTGTTCTCATTGATAACATTTTCCCAAGAACATATTCACACATGACATGTAGTTAACAAAAGTTTAGCATATGGGCTTCGCTAGTGGCTCAGTGGTAAAGAATCCACCCGCCAATGTAGGAGACATGGGTTTAATCCCTGGTTGGGGAATATTCCACATGCCACGGAGCAACCAAGCCCATATGTCACAGTTACTGAGCCTGTAGAGCCTGGGAGCCCAAGAGCCTGTGCTCCGCAACAAGAGAAGCCACTTCAGTGAGAAACCCGCACACTACAACTAGAGAGTAGCTCCCTTTCCCTGCAACCAGAGAAAAGCCTGCACAGCAACAGAGACCCAGCACAGCCAAAAATAAACAAAAAAATTTTAAAGTCCAGCATAAATGTACAATGCAGCAATTCCTCTCCTAGAGAAATGAAAACATACTCTTATACAAAAATAGCGTATGTATGTTCACAGCAGCATTACTCACAGTAACCAAAAGGTGTAAACAAACATCTATCAGCAAATCAACGGATAAACAAGATGTGGCGTAACCACACCACAGATTTGCATTCGTAAAAAGGAGTAAAGTGCTGATGCCTGCTATATTTATATGAAACATCCAGAATAGGCAAGTTCACAGAAAGTAATCAGTGGTTGCCAGGACCTGGGGGAGGGGAAATGGTAAGTGCCTGCTTACTGGGCACAATGTCTCTGGGATAATGAAAACGTTCTAACAGTGGTGATGGTTATATTACTTGGTAAAGCTATTAAAAATCCAGTGACTGTAGGGACTTCCCTGGTGGTCCAGTGACAAGGACTCTGCGCTCCAATGCAGAGAGCCTGGGTTCGATCCCTGGTCAGGGAACTAGGTCCCACATGCTGCAACTAAGATCCAGCGTGGCCAAATAACAATTATTTTGTAAAACTCAAGAACTGTACATTTGAAATGGGTGAATTTTGTAATATGTAAAGTATGCCTTAATAAAGACATTGAAAACAATAAGTCAATGAAAAGGACCCGAGCTGACAGAGGCCACGTGTGTTGGAGCTCCCTAAGAAGACTGCATGCAGAGGGGACAAGCACGTCAGCACAGCAACTAGGGCTGAGGATAGCTCGACTGGCAAGTGTCCAGGAGGCGAGCAAGAGGGCACCAGGAACTCTTCCTAGCAGGTCACTGAGCCCAGACCATTCTCCAGCAGTAGGTGGTCTTCACAGGGAGCAGACCTCTGCGTGGCAGGGGCACGACTGAGTGACCACCCCCCACAAGCCACAGATAACCTGCAGTGAGCAGTGAGCCACGTGGACTCTGCTATTTCGCTTTGGTGAGGCGCCTGAGGAGGCCTCCTAAGGAGCCTGGTCGCTCTTTTGGGTGCACAGCACCTGGTGAGTACCGGGCCCTTTTCACCTGCCTGCAGGGAGAGGCTCTTGGCACCCTCCTGGCTCTGGGGCACTCATGGGCAGCGGGGTCGGCAGGGCCACCTGGTTCATTCATAATCCACAGAGTGGCCATAGCCTGGATGCTGGCCCATGGCAGACAGGGCCGCCAGCATGCCAAGACAGGGCACATCCTCCCACAACACAGCGTTTGCAGAAATGCCAGCCAGTGGGTAGAGTCTCGTTAGTCCTCAGCCGGCAGAGCTGGGGAGCCACAGCCAAGCCAAGCCTCTCCTGCAGAGGTCACTGCACCAACCTTGGAGCCCACCTCTGCTTGGCCTTGCCTTCTCCCTGCTCGGAAGTAACTCCTCACTGGTGGTGACATTTCTTTCTCGGAGTCTGAGGCTGCTTGGAAGGGATGGTGGGTGGGAAACTGTTATCCCACTTTGAAGAGAATTTTAAGTCAAAACCACCCTTTGTACCTCAGGACTGGGGGCCCCTGCTCCCTGGTTCTCCATTACCCAGGGCGGAGCAAGGCCACTGGGTCCTTACCAGTACAGCCTGTGCCGCAGGCGCAGCCACCCAAGACCTGTCCACGGAGTCCAGTCCTGGGAGAAAGACGCAGCAGCCTTCCAGGTGCCTCCAGTCCTGCGTTTCTGCGCCACTATCCTCTCTGGCCTCTGACCTCCTGGCCTCAGGGCAGAAGGGCTTGGCAAGAACCCATAGGGTCTGGGGGGGGGGGGGGGGCAGACGAGGGAGGGATGGCGGACGGTTGCCCTTCCCTGAACCCAGGAGGCCCTGTGGGGGAGCTTGCCTCCACGTAGCTTGTGCCTTTCTGCAGGGATGACCTTTGAAGAGCCTGAGGCCAAGGACACAGCAGCCCAAAACAGCCCTTCGCTCACAAGTCCTGGGTCAGCCCCGCAAGGCGCCCAGATGCTGGGTGGTCGAGGGTCACTCTGGGCCCCTCTGGTGAAGAGCCTGATGGTGGCCCCTGCAGTTCCCCCATCCACTGGCTGGGGCCAGGATGGGGGCCAGGCCTCCAGACCCAGCCTCTGTCCAGAGAGGGAACAAAGAAGTGGTCTGGGGTGTCTCCTCTTCCCCACTGAGTAGGGCCTGGGGTCCACCCAATGGGGTGAGTCACACAAGTGACTGAGTAACTGGCCCGCTGGTTACTCAACCCTCAACCCCAGGCCCTGGGCCTGCTGCCAAGAGAGGCCCCACTGAAGTGCCATAGGTGGAGGGCGCTGGAGCATGTGCACGCCCAGCAAGAACCAGCGGGGGACACTGCAAGCAGCGGGCCACAGAGGGAGGAGGGGCAGGACAGGGAGCCGCTGTCTCTGTACTGGTCACTGTCACATGGATGGGACAGCAGCTTGCAGAGGTGGCCCTGGTGTGTCCGGCTGACATCACAGGGATGGGCAAACACGGTGTTCTTCCCAAGGCGATGCCTGAGGTCACAATGCCATTTGCCTGTTCCCACCAAAAGCACAGGAGCTGAAGCCCAGAATCATCAGACGAACCCCACGTAGGGACAGGCTACAGAGTGACTAGTGGGATCTTAAGGACCCCAGTGCTGGGACAGGCAGAGTGGGGCTGGGGGCGTTTGGGGGCAGAGGGAGCAGGGGATGAGGCGGCCCCACCCCTAAGTCGCCATTTCCCTCACTGTGCCATGGGTGCATAGATCAGGCCTTGGCCCCACAAGATAGGAGG